GAAGTTGTAGGATGTGGAATGAGGACGAATGGTACTTAGGGACCTGACGATCTGTTGGAGTGTGTGGCAGGTAATATTTAGTGAAGATTCAGGGAAAAACCGGTTATTTCAATTTGTCGGGACTTGAGGTCCTGGAAATGGAAGTTACAATGACTGCACTCTAAAGGATGGGGTTTGGGATATTGGCAGTTTGGTGGGATATGTTGTGTATTTTATATGTGTTTGCTGCTAAACTGTTGTGTTCTGAGCACCTCGCAAAAACAGTACATTATGTGTGAGTGAGGTGAAAGTGTTGAATGATGATTGAAAGGTATTTTCTTTTGGGTATTTTCTTTCTTTTTTGGGTCACCTGCTTCGGGGGAGGACTGCCGACTGTTTAAATATATAACTTTTTCTTCTTTCCAACATACCTCCGTATCCCTCTGAGCGTGGCGGTGGCCTAAAGAATATAAACTGAGTTTCTCTTTTAAAATTTAGTTATATTTTCAGGAGAAGGGGTTACTAGCCCCTTGCTCCCGGCATTTTAGTCGCCATTTACGACATGCAAGGCTTACAGAGGAAGAATTCTGGTTCCACTTTCCCCATGGAGATAAGAGGAATTAAACAAAGAACAGAATTAGAAAGAAAATAGAAGAAAACCTCAGAGGGGAGGTTGTGTATATATATGTTGTACACGTATGTGTAGTGTGGACCTAAGTGTAAGTAGAAGTAGCAAGACTTACCTTGAATCTTGCATATTTATGAGACAGACAAAAGACACCAGCAATCCTACCATCATGTAAAACAATTACAGGCTTTTTTTTTTACACTCATTTGGCAGGACGGTAGTACCTCCCTGGGCGGTTGCTGTCTACCAACCTACTACCTATAACCAACCTACTACCTATATAAAAATATATATATATATATATAAATGCAGCAGCGAGGAGACGGTTGGAGGCAGTGGAGATGTCCTGTCTAAGGGCAATGTGTGGTGTAAATATTATGCAGAAACATTCGGAGTGTGGAAATTAGGAGAAGTTGTGGAGTTAAATTTAAAAGCATTAGTCAGAGGGCAGAAGAGGGGTTGAGGTGGTATGGTCATTTAGAGAGAATGGATCAAAGTAGAATGAAATGGAAACCCATATAAATCTATAGGGGAAAGGAAGGAGGGGTAGGGGTCGTCCTGGAAAGGGTTGGAAAAAGAGGGGGTAAAGGAGGTTTTGTGGGCTAGGGGCTTGGACTTCCAGCAAATGCATGAGGTATTAGATAGGAGTGAATGGAGGCGAATGTTTACTTGGGCCCTGACGATCTGTTGGAGTGGGGAGCAGGGTAATATTTAGTGAAGGGATTCAGGGAAACCGGTTATTTTCATATAGTCGGACTTGAGTCCTGGAAATGGAAAGTACAAGGGCCTGCACTTTAAAGGAGGGGTTTGGGATTATGGCAGTTTGGAGGATATGTTGTGTATCTTTATACGTATATGCTTCTGAACTGTTGTATTCTGAGCACCTTGCAAAAGCAAATGATAATGTGTGAGTGTGGTTTAAAGTGTTGAATGATGATGATGAAGTATTTTCTTTTTGGGGATTTTCTTTCTTTTTTTGGGTCACCCTGCCTCGGTGGGAGACGGCCGACTTGTTGAAAAAAAAAAAAAAGAAAATATATATATATATATATATATATATATATATATATATATATATATATACACGTATATATATATATATATGCATGTATGCATGAGATACAATGCAATGCCAATTAACACATGGGTTACATTCCTGAAAACTGTGCACTACATAAAACAGCATTATGCCGACTGAAGAACACACGGTAAAAATAGTGATACATACATGCTTAACAACTAAAAAAAAAAAAAATCAAACACGTGTTTTTCATACTTTACTTTGTAGTCACCATTGCTTGTTATTTAGAAATGTATGGCGAACGTTGATGTAGCCCTACTAGGCCTAGTTGAATGTAATGAGGTGTCATTAATAAAATATACCTTAAATTCTTGCTGCTGTTACTTGTTGATCTTGAAATGTGTGAGAGGAGTTAGGTGTGGCATACTGGGTCAACTTGGATGGCTGAGGCTCTTGTTTTGATGGGGGATAACAGTGAGTCTTGTGTTGATGTCTGTAGTTGATGGTTGTAATGTTGTGTTTAAATATTCTGTAATATGTCTCTGCTCCATTTTTTTCCCTGAAGATAAGTTATGGTCACCTGCTCCAGATCCTGCTTCACAGCAGTGCTTCTAAATGTGTCAGGGTACATTTCAGTCAAAAAGTTTGCAACTTTATCAGTACTATATGATGCAACATTTCACATAGCTCTTGCAGTGTCACCAGTGAGAGCACAGGTTTTCCTGCTTCCTTCCAAACTGGGAAATAACCTCCTCCACATTTCATTTGTTTTTCATCATCTTCTAACAGTTTATTTATGTCCTCTACATATTTTCAAAGCCTTCACTTGGCACCCTCTTTTGCCAGATACACAATTTCTTGGATCTGACTCTGTTGAGGGGATATCTCTGAAATTATTCACCACAAAAAAACATAATTTTCCCAGCCAGTATTTACTGTTCATTTTGGAAGTTCAACCCATTATACTTTTACTTGGGTTATTGTACTTGCAAAGTTAAATTTATGCCAGAACTGTTGCACTCCAATATCTGCTTTCTGTATGAGGTTGTGTGTGCAGTAACACTTTAAGTGTCTTAATCACTCCTCGAGCCAGTGGTTGTATCAAAGATGTCATATCTGGTGGCTAAAACACACCCTTTAAACTTGGGTGCACAGATTACAAGTTTTGAGAGAGGCTATGGGAATTATTAAATAAGAAAAAAACATGAATGCCAGCTGTCTTTCTGGTCAGGAACAGCTTCACACCAAGCATACAATAATTTTTGAACCAGTCAACAAATATGGCCTCACTCAACCATACCACCTTGTTGGATTGTCATACAACAGGAAGAGTAGCTCTGTTTTTTACTTAAAGCATGGGGAATCTGGGAGCTTGTGTTTGATATTACCCAATGCATTTGCTCACAGAAGCAGCTGTGATGATCTTTTACTGCCTTGAATCTAGGTGCAATTTTCTCTTGCTTAATGAAAATTTTACACAGTATTTTCCCCTAAAAAAAATTCTGTTTCATCAGCATAAACACTTTTTGTGGGAAGTACCTATTCACAGATATAATTTCCTCCAACTGGACAGGAAAATTCCTGGCACAACGTTGTCTACAAATGCACTTTCCCCACTAATCTTCGAGTTATGCAACTGATTGGACATTTTAAACTGGCTGAATCCATTCAGAACTAAACACTCTTTTGAAGGTTATTCTTCCCACTCACATACTGTTGTACAGTACAACAGGCCTTCCTCCAGGCATTAAGTGGAGCATCTTTCCTTATTTTACACCACAATAAGCCTTTCTATCTTACTATGAGGGCATTAAGTGGGGTATCTTTCTTTGTTTTGTGCTCAGTCCACACATTCAGTAGTTTTTCTGTCTTATTCACCCGCATTAACTTTTTTGTCTTTCTTTTCAATGGATCACAAGCCAGACTGCCTTTTGCACAAGCTCTAATCATATGAACTGTTGATTGTACAATACCAAATGTGCAGACTATTTCCATGTGTTCCACCTTTAAGGATATCCAAGATTTCATTTTTTTTTTTCAAAATGGTCAGACTTTCTTGAGTATTCATTTTTTGTGCTCCCAGCATCACTAGTTTTGCTCTTGAATTCCAAATTTAATAATGAGAGATGAGATGGGGTGAAGAAGAGATCCAAAATGGATTACTCGTGACTGAGTATGATATACAACCCATCCACGAGGGCAACACTAGGCCTCTCCTTAAAACAATGGCCTCACTTACAAGTTAACTATAAGGCAGAGAGAAAACACTCTGCTTCATGTTCAAACTGAGTTTAAGACTCAAATAGGATGTATGCCTTCCCCCCTTTTTCCCCCAGACTTTACAGGGCATTCAGATGGTCTTTCATCAGTGCACTTTGGACTTGGGTACAATATTTCATTGGAGTTTTGTTAAAAATGCTCTCTCAAGACTTCCAATAAAATTATGTGCCAAGTATTGGCAAATGTAAGATTAAATAATTAGTACAATTATTTCCTGCAGTGACATGAAGTTCATATTAATTCTCTCTTAAACCAAGATTGTCAAGTTGTATATTTAAACAAAATTTTTAATTAACAAATAATTTAAAATACCTAATAGTATTTTATTGGAACTTTTAAAATGCAGCATTCCACTATTAGCTTTAATGCAAAATAATCAAGGATGAATTCTCAACTAGCCTGTAAACTGAAATGGAATCACTGACGATATTTAAACTAGTCCTGGATCATTATCAAATCATGAGTCACTTTACATATGTCCATGACAGACTGAAATATTGGGTAAGTTTCATTGCCAATATGTGGGTTAGTTTTGAATAGTACAAGCAATGCCTACTTATTCTTCAACCACATATGAAGTTTGGTTTCTTGCAATCCTAGGGATATAGTATAATGAAAAAAATGGATAGTGTTTTGTTCTGTCAACAATTATGCTTAATTATTGTGAAGCTTCAGTGTCTGGCTAGATGTGGTCAAGAACAGGCAATTTCTCTCAACAAGAAATGAGGGCTTAGTAACTGAAGGTATCAGTATATAGAAACACATGCAACTGTTTATCAACAATGGTAATGTCCCTGACATTACTACTGAGGTCAGGTATGACTATATACATGTACAGTATTCTTTATAAAATCTTTCCAGTTACACTGGTTTGAATGTCTTTGATAAGCACATTAGATATGGCCGGGCTCTAAAATAAATAAGAATTTCAGCAGCTCTTAACATGTAAACTGAGCTATGTAAAATAAAAAAATATTATCAGTGGTTTCATAGGTATGTAAATAACATTAATTTATCCATAGCTTCCTAAAATCTGGTGAGTTCCTATGTAATAAAAGCCAAGAGTTAGTTTGCAAAAAGCTCCAAGCTTACCGGTCTCTCACAGCATCCAGCTGACACAGGCCCCAATCTTTGTCTTCTCTCATAGCATCACCTTGATGATATATGTCTGGGTGGTGATGTGCAACTACTACACCTATGGCTGCAAACCAATAACTGCAAGCCATATGCAACACCACCCACAATCTGTGAGGACAAAGACCAAATGAATATCCAACATGCAAATTCAATTATTGCACTGACACATTTTTGACAAATAATAAAATAAATAAATAATAAATAATTTTTTGTATTTCTTTACATAGTATACAATGTGTAGTTTACATGTAATAACATATTGTTAACCACAAAGAAAACCACTAGCATGCATGAGCATTTTGGGCAGACTAGTCCTAGTGCTTACAGACAAAGTAAATTTGTATTTTTTTATCACACTGGTTGTCTCCTACTGAGGTAGGGTGACCCATAAAAGAAAGAACACTTTCACCATCACTCACTCCATTACCATCTTGCCAGCGGTGCCCTGGCATTACAGCTCAGATGTCCCTCCAAGCTGAAATATCCTCAACCCTCCTTCAGACAGCAGTTAAGACAAAAATTTCAATAACAGCTGCAATAGTCAAACTTGTTTAACCCTTCAACTGTCCAAATGTAGATCTACATTTGCACGCGTAACACTCCGACCTTGATTTTCCCCATAAGAATATAAAAAACGTAGCTCTACGTTCGGAGTGCTACACAAGCGAACGTAGATCTACGTTTGGACAGTTTAAGGGTTAAATTAAACATAAGAACAGAAGAGCATTGCAGTATGCCTATTGGCCAATCTACTTGTCCGATCTACTTTAAAAGTTACTCAGAGTGTTTGCTTCAATGATGCTACTGTACTTGGAAGTTTGTTCCACTCACATAACACTACTACCAAACCAGCGTTTTCCTGCATCTTTACTAAATCTCTATTTATCCAACCTGAATCTGTTGTTGAGAGTCCTGTCTTCCTGTTTTCCAGTAACATCAAGAGCAGAACTGAGCTGCATAACTGAAACAAGGTCTTCTCATTGATATACAGTATTAAATTGAAGTACTATAACCTTGTGACTTCTATTATTTATGCATCTTGATAAAAAGCCAAGAAATAGTATATGTATTTAAATGCAAATACTGGACTTATGCACTGTTGTCTCGGCTTTAGGATTCTTCTAATAAGAACTATCTTTTCATTTGAATTTGGCTTAAGACCTATATTACTGAATTTATAATTTTTTTTTTTTCAACAAGTCGGCCGTCTCCCACCGAGACAGGGTGACCCAAAAAGAAAGAAAATCCCCAAAAAGAAAATACTTTCATCATCATTCAACACTTTCACCTCGCTCATACATAATCACTGTTTTTGCAGAGGTGCCCAGGACACAACAGTTTAGAAGCATATACAGTAGGGCCCCGCTTTTTGGTGTTTTGCCTTACGGGGTTCTGCTAATATGGCGATCTCAAATTATGACCAAAACTTTCTATACGGCAAGTGGTCTTTCAAATACGGCGCGGGCCACCCGGTCTGTTTACATTCTCCATGAGCACATCTCTATTATGTAATAATAATCACTCTTGGGCACATTAAATGTCTAATTTTACGTCAATATAGACATTTTCATTAATCCATCTATGATATTTTCTTCAAAATTAGTATATAAGAAACACGTTACATAACATATAAACATTTTATGTTTATATACTATGGAGGTGTGGTAGCCAGGTGGAAGGAAAACATTACGTCACTCCCCTTAATACATAATACTTTTGATTACAATTCTCGGCATGAATTTTTCATTATTTCTCTCTTTGTTTACGATGACATCTAAAGGTAGTTGTTAGAAATGATTAAACTCAGTGAACATGGTATGTCGATGGTAATAATATGCCTCTGGGTCACATTAAATATCGTGTAGCTATGTAGCCCAGGTGGACTACATTTTTTTTTTTTTTTTCAACAAGTCGGCTGTCTCCCACCGAGGCAGGGTGACCCAAAAACGAAAGAAAATCCCCAAAAAGAAAATACTTTCATCATCATTCAACACTTTCACCACACTCACACATTATCACTGTTTTTGCAGAGATGCTTAGAATACAACAGTTTAGAAGCATATACGTATAAAGATACAACATATCCCTCCAAACTGCCAATATCCCAAATCCCTCCTTTAAAGTGCAGGCATTGTACTTCCCATTTCCAGGACTCAAGTCCGACTATATGAAAATAACCGGTTTCCCTGAATCCCTTCACTAAATATTACCCTGCTCACACTCCAACAGATCGTCAGGTCCCAAGTACCATTCGTCTCCATTCACTCCTATCTAACATGCTCACGCACGCTTGCTGGAAGTCCAAGCCCCTTGCCCACAAAACCTCCTTTACCCCCTCTCTCCAACCCTTTCGAGGACGACCCCTACCCCGCCTTCCTTCCCCTATAGATTTATATGCTTTCCATGTCATTCTACTTTGATCCATTCTTTTAAATGACCAAACTACCTCAACAACCCCTCTTCTGCCCTCTGACTAATACTTTTATTAACTCCACACCTTTTCCTAATTTCCACACTCCGAATTTTCTGCATAATATTTACACCACACATTGCCCTTAGACATGACATCTCCACTGCCTCCAACCGTCTCCTAGCTGCTGCATTCACAACCCAAGCTTCACATCCATATAAGAGTGTTGGTACTACTATACTTTCATACATTCCCTTCTTTGCCTCCATAGATAACGTTTTTTGACTCCACATATACCTCAACGCACCACTCACCTTTTTTCCCTCATCAATTCTATGATTAACCTCATCCTTCATAAATCCTGGACTACATACCTATATTATTATTATAACTGATAATTATACGTATGTGTACCTGTACCTAAGTAAACTTACACACTACGTTGGCATGCAGGTACACATTAAAATCACTAAGTGTGTCTTATTAGACTTGAAGATGCCACATTAATAATGATAATAATAATAACACAATAATAATCACTCTAAGGAGCATTAAATATCATATAAAACATTAATATAGATATTTTGCTTAATCCATCTAAATACACCCCACGTGGATGTTGTGCAGATGATAAGAAAGAGATGATTGTGGATGTTATGAATGAGAAGAAACTGGATGTCCTGGCTTTAAGTGAAACAAAGCTGAAGGGGGTGGGAGAGTTTCAGTGGAGAGGAATAAATGGGATTAGGTCAGGGGTTTCAAATAGAGTTAGAGCTAAAGAAGGAGTAGCAATAATGTTGAAGGATAAGCTATGGCAGGAAAAGAGGGACTATAAATGTATTAATTCAAGGATTATGTGGAGTAAAATAAAGATTGGATGTGAAAAGTGGGTTATAATAAGCGTGTATGCACCTGGAGAAGAGAGAAGTGTAGAGGAGAGAGAGAGATTTTGGGAAATGTTGAGTGAATGCGTGGGGAGTTTTGAATCAAGTGTGAGAGTAATGGTGGTTGGGGATTTTAATGCTAAAGTGGGTAAAAATGTTATGGAGGGAGTAGTAGGTAAATTTGGGGTGCCAGGGGTAAATGTAAATGGGGAGCCTTTAATTGAGCTATGTGTAGAAAGAAATTTGGTAATAAGTAATACATATTTTATGAAAAAGAGGATAAATAAATATACAAGGTATGATGTAGCACGTAATGAAAGTAGTTTATTAGATTATGTATTGGTGGATAAAAGGTTGATGGGTAGGCTCCAGGATGTACATGTTTATAGAGGGGCAACTGATATATCGGATCATTATTTAGTTGTAGCTACAGTTAGAGTAAGAGGTAGATGGGAAAAGAGGAAGGTGGCAACAACAAGTAAGAGGGAGGTGAAAGTGTATAAACTAAGGGAGGAGGAAGTTCGGTGAGATATAAGCGACTATTGGCAGAAAGGTGGGCTAGTGCAAAGATGAGTAGTGGGGGGGTTGAAGAGGTTGGAATAGTTTTAAAAATGGCAGTATTAGAATGTGGGGCAGAAGTTTGTGGTTATAGGAGGGTGGGGGCAGGAGGAAAGAGGAGTGATTGGTGGAATGATGAAGTAAAGGGTGTGATAAAAGAGAAAAAGGTAGCTTATGAGAGGTTTTTACAAAGCAGAAGTGTTATAAGAAGAGCAGAGTATATGGAGAGTAAAAGAAAGGTAAAGAGAGTGGTGAGAGAGTGCAAAAGGAGAGCAGATGATAGAGTGGGAGAGGCACTGTCAAGAAATTTTAAAAGAAAATAAGAAAAATTTTGGAGTGAGTTAAACAAGTTAAGAAAGCCTAGGGAAAATATGGATTTGTCAGTTAAAAACAGAGTAGGGGGGGTTTAGTAGATGGGGAGATGGAGGTATTGGGTAGATGGCGAGAATATTTTGAGGAACTTTTAAATGTTAAGGAAGAAACAGAGGCAGTAATTTCATGCACTGGTCAGGGAGGTATACCATCTTTTAGGAGTGAAGAAGAGCAGAATGTAAGTGTGGGGGAGGTACGTGAGGCATTACGTAAAATGAAAGGGGGTAAAGCAGCTGGAACTGATGGGATCATGACAGAAATGTTAAAAGCAGGGGGGGATATAGTGTTGGAGTGGTTGGTACTTTTGTTTAATAAATGTATGAAAGAGGGAAAGGTACCTAGGGATTGGCAGAGAGCATGTATAGTCCCTTTATATAAAGGGAAAGGGGACAAAAGAGACTGTAAAAATTATAGAGGAATAAGCTTACTGAGTATACCAGGAAAAGTGTACGGTAGGGTTATAATTGAAAGAATTAGAGGTAAGACAGAATGTAGGATTGCGGATGAGCAAGGAGGTTTTAGAGTGGGTAGGGGATGTGTAGATCAGGTGTTTACATTGAAGCATATATGGTGAACAGTATTTAGATAAAGATAGGGAAGTTTTTATTGCATTTATGGATTTAGAAAAGGCATATGATAGAGTGGATAGAGGAGCAATGTGGCAGATGTTGCAAGTATATGGAATAGGTGGTAAGTTATTAAATGCTGTAAAGAGTTTTTATGAGGATAGTGAGGCTCAGGTTAGGGTGTGTAGAAGAGAGGGAGACTACTTCCCGGTAAAAGTAGGTCTTAGACAGGGATGTGTAATGTCACCATGGTTGTTTAATATAATTTATAGATGGGGTTGTAAAGGAAGTAAATGCTAGGGTGTTTGGGAGAGGGGTGGGATTAAATTATGGGAATCAATTCAAAATGGGAATTGACACAGTTACTTTTTGCTGATGATACTGTGCTTATGGAGATTCTAAAGAAAAATTGCAAAGGTTAGTGGATGAGTTTGGGAATGTGTGTAAAGGTAGAAAGTTGAAAGTGAACATAGAAAAGAGTAAGGTGATGAGGGTGTCAAATGATTTAGATAAAGAAAATTGGATATCAAATTGGGGAGGAGGAGTATGGAAGAAGTGAATGTTTTCAGATACTTGGGAGTTGACGTGTCGGCGGATGGATTTATGAAGGATGAGGTTAATCATAGAATTGATGAGGGAAAAAAGGTGAGTGGTGCGTTGAGGTATATGTGGAGTTCAAAAAAACGTTATCTATGGAGGCAAAGAAGGGAATGTATGAAAAGTATAGTAGTACCAACACTCTATATGGGTGTGAAGCTTGGGTGGTAAATGCAGCAGCGAGGAGACGGTTGGAGGCAGCGGAGATGTCCTGTTTAAGGGCAATGTGTGGTGTAAATATTATGCAGAAAATTCGGAGTGTGGAAATTAGGAGAAGGTGTGGAGTTAATAAAAGTATTAGTCAGAGGCAGAAGAGGGGTTGTTGAGGTGGTTTGGTCATTTAGAGAGAATGGATCACAGTAGAATGACATGGAAAGCATATAAATCTATAGGGGAAGGAAGGGGGTAGGGGTCGCCTCGAAAGGGTTGGAGAGAGGGGTAAAGGAGGTTTTGTGGTAAGGGGCTTGGACTTCCAGCAAGCGTGCGTGAGCGTGTTAGATAGGAGTGAATGGAGACGAATGGTACTTGGGACCTGACGATCTGTTGGAGTGTGAGCAGGGTAATATTTAGTGAAGGGATTCAGGGAAACCGGTTATTTTCATATAGTCAGACTTGAGTCTTGGAAATGGGAAGTACAATGCCTGCACTTTAAAGGAGGGGTTTGGGATATGGCAGTTTGGAGGGATATGTTGTGTATCTTTATATGTTTATGCTTCTAGACTGTTGTATTCTGAGCACCTCTGCAAAAACAGTGATAATGTGCGAGTGTGGTGAAAGTGTTGAATGATGATGAAAGTATTTTCTTTTTGGGGATTTTCTTTCTTTTTTGGGTCACCCTGCCTCGGTGGGAGACGGCCGACTTGTTGAAAAAAAAAAAAAAAAAAAAAAAAAATATATATATGAGATGTGGTAGCCAGGTGACTTGTAGGACTTGTGGCAGCCAGGCTACTTGTAGGACTTGTGGCAGCCAGGCAACTTGTAGGACTCATGGTAGCCAGGCAACTTGTAGGACTTGTGGTAGCCAGGCAACTTGTAGGACTTGTGGTAGCCAGGCAACTCGTAGGACTTGTGGTAGCCAGGCAACTTGTAGGACTTGTGGTAGCCAGGCAACTTGTAGGACTTGTGGTAGCCAGGCAACTTGTAGGACTTGTGGTAGCCAGGCAACTTGTAGGACTTGTGGTAGCCAGGCAACTTGTAGGACTTGTGGTAGCCAGGCAACTTGTAGGACTTGTGGTAGCCAGGCAACTTGTAGGACTTGTGGTAGCCAGGCAACTTGTAGGACTTGTGGTAGCCAGGCAACTTGTAGGACTTGTGGTAGCCAGGCAACTCGTAGGACTTGTGGTAGCCAGGCAACTCGTAGGACTTGTGGTAGCCAGGCAACTTGTAGTCCAACATCAGAGAAAATGTGTCACTATAATATTACTGGGGATAACTAGAAAAATATTCAAAACTCCCCACACACTCACTCAACTATTCCCAAAGTCTCTCTCTACACTTCTCTCTTCTCCAGGTGCATATACTCTTACTATAACCCACTTTTCACATCCACCCTTTATTTTACTCCACATAATCCTTGAATTAATACATTTATACTTCCTCTTTACCTGCCATAGCTTATCCTTCAACATTACTGCTACTCCTTCTTTAGCTTTAATTCTATATGAAACCCCTGACCTAATCCCATTTACTTCTCTCCACTGAAACTCTCCCACCCCCTTCAGCTTTGTTTCACTTAAAGCCAGGACATCCAGCTTCTTCTCATTCATAACATCCACAATCATCTCTTTCTTATCATTCACACAACATCCACGCACATTCAGACATCCCACTTTGACAGTTGTCTTCTTATTTTTAGTAATCTGTACAGGAAAAGGGGTTACTAGCCCATTGTTCCTGGCATTTTAGTTGACTTTTACAACACGCATGGCTTACAGAGGAAAGATTCTTATTCCATTTCCCCATGGATATAAAAGGAAAAGTAATAAGAACAAGAACTATTAAGATAAAATCAAAGAAAACTCAGATGAGTGTGTATAAATAAACATGTACATGTATGTGTAGTGTGACCTAAATGTAAGTAGAAGTAGCAAGATGTACCTGAAATCTTGCATATTTATGAGACAGACAAAAGACACCAGCAATCCTACCATCATGTAAAACAATTACAAGCTCTTGTTTTACACTCACTTGGCAGGACGGTAGTACCTCCCTGGGTGGTTGCTGTCTACCAACCTACTACCTACATTTCCCTTTCCCATGGATTAGATCTTTACACATGTCCATGTAAAACTGCATCCGTCACTACTCAGACCACATCAGCCTATCTAAATAATTCTGTAGCACCTTGGTATCCTCAGAAATTATTTGATGATCTATTTGTGTCACTGGCAAACTTCCCTACGCTACTGTCATACATGTAGATTGTGAACAACAAAAGGCCCCACACTCACCCTCCCTCCCCCATGTTAAAAGAAATAAACACACTTAACAGGTCCTCCCTTATGATTTCTCCTCATTTATGCAACTCTGTTACCACTGTACCTCTCAGTCAGCTATGCTTTTATCTGGACTAGAAACTATCCTCTATAGAATTTCCACTCAAAAATTCTTCAAATAGCGTGAATGCTGTTTTACATACCTTTTGACGCCTTGAAAGCAATTATAGTTTACTCTCTAGTGAATTATAGTTTATGGTTGCTTCATTAATTAATGTATCACACATAATAATTGACTTGTCTACTTGTGTCTGTTTTAATTGAAGTGATTTTAAATGAGTTGGAACAGACACCATAGTTCTGAATTCTTAAGGTTAAGATTATTTAACTAAGAATATACCTAGTAGCTAATAACTCTGTGTTGACAGCAAGTCAGCTGGTGTCTTGGGAATGTTGCTGTATCAGCTTGTTATGATGGCAGTTCCACACATACCCAGGGACCTTGACCCACTAACATAATTACACTAAGTGCAGTCAGCAACTTCAGTGGGTATATGTGTTGTCCTGAGTGTCCCGCTTGCCAGTGGACCAAAGTGGCCCTGGGATGTGGCCATTAGTGGACCTATGAGGATATGGCCATTAGTGATCTGAGGTATAGGGGGCTGTCTGCATGCTGGGAAGCTTTTAATCCTTGGCTTGCAATCCCTTATTAACCATGGGGTTTTGCTGAATTGCACGTTGAAGGATGTTATCATGAGATGACCATTTTTTTTTTTCAACAAATCGGCCGTCTCCCACCGAGGCAGGGTGACCCAAAAAGAAAGAAAATCCCCAAAAAGAAAGTACTTTCATCATCATTCAACATTTTCACCTCACTCACACATAATCACTGTTTTTGCAGAGGTGCTCAGAACACAACAGTTTAGAAGCATATACGTATAAGGATACACAACACATCCCTCCAAATTGCCAATATCCCGAAACCCCTCCTTTAGAGTGCAGCCATTGTAATTCCCATTTCCAGGACTCAAGTCCGGCTATATAAAAATAACCGGTTTCACTGAATCCCTTCACTAAACATTACCCTGCTCACACTCCAACAGATCGTTAGGTCCCAAATACCATTCGTCTCCATTCACTCCTATCAAACACGCTCATGCACGCCTGCTGGAAGTCCAAGCCCCTCGCCCATAAAATCTCCCTTACCCCTTCCTTTCAACCTTTTCGAGGACAACCCCTATCTCGCCTTCCTTCTCCTACAGATTTAAATGCTCTCCATGTTATTCTACTTTGATCCATTCTCTCTAAATGACTAAACTACCTCAACAACCCCTCTTCTGCCCTCTGACTAATACTTTTATTAACTCCACACCTTCTCCTAATTTCCACACTCCAAATTTTCTGCATAATATTTACACCACACATTTCCCTTAGACATGACATCTCCACTGCCTCCAACCGCCTCCTCGCTGCTGCATTCACAACCCAAGCTTCACACCCATATAAGTGTGTTGGTACTACTATACTTTCATACATTCCCTTCTTTGCCTCCATAGATAATGTTTTTTGACTCCACATATACCTCAACGCACCACTCACCTTTTTTCCCTCATGAATTCTATGATTAACCTCATCCTTCATAAATCCATCCGCCGACATGTCAACTCCCAAGTATCTGAAAACATTCACTTCTTCCATACTCTCCTCCCCAATTTGATATCCAATTTTTCTTTATCTAAATCATTTGTTACCCTCATCACCTTACTCTTTTCTATATACAAACTATATTAATTAAATTTTCACTGACAGAGAAAAAGTCGATAGTGCATTGAGGATCTGTGGAGGAAAATACTTCATCTATGGAGGCAAAAAGGGATTGTACCCGAGTATGGTGATACCAATATCGTTATATGGGTATGAAGGATGGGCTTTAAACGTTGCAGAGAGGAGGATGTGTTGTTGGTGTGAGCAAGGTAACATTTATGAAAGGATTCAGGAAAAATGGCTAGCAAGACTCGAGTCCTAGAGGAGGATAGTACAGTGCCTGTAATTTGAATGAGGGGTGGGAATGTCGCACTTTGGAGGGTCATATAAATTGTAATGTCAGCATATTTCTGGCATGAGAGTAATTGAATGAATGAAAGCAAAAGTTTTTCTCTATATCAGGTCATTACCTTGGTGGGAGACAGCCAGTTTTAAAAAAATTACCTGAAAGCCATTCCAACTGATGATGAAACTACTGCCATAAGAATGAATTCAACGACAGGAAGTAGATTTTCTGGACGAAGTTTCATATCTCCAGAATACTGATGATAAATTCTTTTTACAGCTTCTATGAACAAAGCCATAGGCATAATAAATTGCTCATATATCCAAGAGCCATATCTTTTCATAAAGCTTTTATCTGATTTGGGTAAGAATTCCCAAATAGGCTCAAGTGCTGATATTTCAATGTCATATATTGTATTGGTGTACAGATGATGGGAGAGTCCATGACTGATGCGCCAGTCATACGAAGAGAAGAGCATCAGATCAAAGTAGTACATTCGCCAGTTATCTCGCTGATGAAAGAAATTGTGAGCGCAATTCCCAGTCATCCCCAGTACAATGCCTGAAATCAAGAAATGTGTAGTTGGTATTTTTTGTCATTTAACATAACCTGATAAATTCTACATTGAGTGTAAGAATTACATCGTGTAAGAATTACATCAAAAAATTTCACTTTTGTTAAACCCATACATTTAGTCATTCTGGTTACCATTTCTAAATAATTAAATGCAGAAGTGAAAAGAAATACAGAGATTCATTTTGAATATAAAAATAACAATATTTGTTTTACTTCCAAGTCCTTAATGTTAAATAAAAGATTACTGCTAAAGTTTCCAGAGTTTTAAATGTCCCTACTTCTATATTACAAGGGTCACACCTGTAATGAAGAGAAATTAAGGAAAGGGACCAGAATTATATAATTTAAATAAGGCAAATGAAAAAAAGACAAAATCTTTTACATATTGGGTAGCAATGAAAACTAGACAACTTGCAGTTGAGATGCTGCTAGCACTGCTTTTCTCTAGTAAAACTTAGATATGTCAGTGTAGTGGAATGTAGATGTTATTAGTCATATCACTGGAGACTTATATTTAACCCGTAAACGGTCCAAGCAGACCTACGTTCACATGCGTAGTGCTCCAAAAGTAGATCTACGTTTTTTTTTACATATTTTCAAATATAAAACAAAAAAAAAAAACGTAGATCAAAGTTTTTTTACACGTTTTCAAATGTAAAAAAAGAAAAAGAAGATCTACTTTTTTTACATACTTTCAAATGCTGAAAAAACGTATATATAAGTTTGGACCATTTACGGGTTAAGAAGTGGCAGAGGCTCTTCACCACACCTGCTTCATATTACCAACTACTCAGATATGGAAAACATGAGGAAATTAAAACTGCATCAGGGTATAAAACAAACAAATTCTAACCACTCAATAGAGCAAAAAAACTAATGTGAAGGATCTGGGAGTGATAATGTCAGAGGCTCTCACCTTCAAAGACCACAACAATGTATCTACCTCATTTGCCACAAAAATGATAGGATGGATAATGAGAATCTTCAAAATTAGGGACGCCAAGCCCATGATGCTTCTCTTCAAATCGCTTCATCTCTCTACAGTGCTCGTCATGGCATTATGCCGGGTGAGTGCCCCGGCATAATGCTGTGACAAAAATCAAAGGCCTATCATACAGGGGAATCTTTTTTGGTCAGTGCATTCTGCTGGGTAGCAGCTGTAAGCATGACATCTCGGCCTGCCGCCACACTTCACAGTGACTTCTCATTGCTCATGTGGCTGCCGTGGTGAAAGGATGTGTTGCACTGTTGTCTCTCATCTGCCCCATCTTTTGTCCAGTGTTCCCTTTGGTTTTGGGGCTATACATGTTTTATTATGGGTAAAAGGAAGTCTTTAACACCTGAACCTATAGCTCAAATCGTAGGGCTTCACAAAGCTGGGCACCAGACGAAAGAAATAGTGGAGAATGTTAGTGTGTGTGAGCGTTCAGTGAGAAACTGGGTGCAGTGTTTTAAGGCTGGTGGTGGTGTTGAATTACCGTCTGCCAAACCTTGGCCTGGTCCCTTGAGGAAGACATCTGTTCATATCTTGGCTGTGTTAGAGAAGCAGTTACTCTCTAAATGCTTCTTTAACACAGTTAAAGTACAAACAGATGTCTTCCTCGAGGGGCCAGGCCGAGGTTTGGCAGACATTACCTCAACACCACCACCAGCCTTGAAATGCTGCACCCAGTTCCTCACTGAATGCTCACACATACTAACATTCTCCACTATTTCTTTCGTCTGGTGCTCAGCTTTGTGAAGCCCTATGATTTGAGCTACAGTTTTAGTTGTTAAAGACTTCCTTTTACCCATAATCAAACATGTACAGCCCCAGAACCAATGGGAACACCAGACAAAAGATGGCAGCCATGTGAGAAATGAGAAGTCACTGTGAAGTGTGGTGGCAAGCTGTGACATCATGCTAATGGCTACTACCCAGCAGAATCCACTGATGAAAAAAGAGGACCCTGTATTGTAGGCCTTTGATTTTTTGTCGTGGCATTATGCTGTGATGAGCACTGTAGGTTGGAATACTGCTGTACACTAACTGCCCCCTTCAAGGCAGGTGAAATTGCTGAACTGAAGAATGTACAGAGAACTTTCATGGCACACGTAAGTAGGATAAAGCACCTAAATTACTGGGAACAGTTGAAGTCCCTTGATTTGTATTCCCTGGAATGCAGGCAACAAAGATACATGATAATACATGCTTGAAAAATCCTAGAAGGATTAGTACCAAACTTGCACATGAAAAATCATGCCTTATGAAAGCAAAAGACTTGGCAGGAGATGCAACATTCCCCCAATGCAAAGCAGATGTGACACGAGTACACTAAGAGACAACACAATAAGTGTCAGGGGCCCAAGACTGTTCAACTGCCTCTGAGCTGTCTTCAAGTAGGCACTGGACAGGCACCGGCCACCTGATCAGGTGGGCTGTGGTTTGTACGTCGGTTACCGTGCGGCCAGCAGTAACAGCCTGGTTGAACAGACTCTGATCCACCATGAGGCCTGGTCTCAGACCGGGCCGTGGGGGGCATTGATTCCCGAAACCCTCTCCTGGTATACTCCAGGTATGGCAACAACAGTCACTATACATATATCATAATTTTCTACATATGCATGTATAGCAGCAGCAGCAGCAGCAGCATGCATTAATGATGACACCAGGTTAAAGGGCAAGTTTACATTATTAATTTGAAGTTTTCAACTTTGTTTAGAAACTGTTACAAGGGGAAGGAAGGAGAAAAAGGCATGCAAGTATGGTTCATAAATTGCATTAGGTAATTTAAGGACCTTTTCTTTACATAATGACCCAAGTTATTCTACTACACCTGTGAGGAATGCATGTTAATTGTTTCATCTCTTTGCTCAAGAGATGTTGGCCTTATGTAGTATATTCTCAAAATATTTCAATCACTATCCAGGACTTCCTGAAGAAGCACAGAACAATACTCAAGTTGCAAGAGTACAAGTGATTTGAAAGGTGTCATCATTGGTGTTGCTCGACTTTACCTTTCAAACTAAACCATAGCCACCACCTACAGTTATATACAGTTGAATTATTGGTAAGCGATAACATCAGCATTAAAGTGGAACATTCAAGATAAAGGGGATATTGGGAGAACTGCAAATGTTAATTTCCCACTTTTCCCCTGTATGCATTTTTTTTACATGAACCTAAAATGTGTAACAGAGATAAACTTCCTATCTTTGAATATGTTCTTTAGCAATCATTCACTCTTTATCCTGATGCATCATACCATAAAAATGCAATTCTAGTGCATAGTGATATTCCACTGTCTTGAATTTCCAATTAGAACCAATTTCACTACATTGCAGCTTGTTTCTATTTAGACAAGTACAATGTTCCAACAATTCAAGTTTGCTCTTTTGCCCTTCCATACCCAGAGGCTCAATATCTGCTGCAAATTCATGCTGTCTCTTCCTTGAATACCTTTAATCACATTCTCATGCTATCGGAGTGTACTATATTGGTTCCAAATCCCCGCATACAGTAGGGGTTCACGGCTCTTTTTCAGGTAGTAGCAACTCAAGGACACTTATTAGTCGGCCAGCATTTTCACTACAGAGTTATGTGCAAGGGTCGCTATCATACATACTGCAACTATGTCCATCACCTCATTTGCTGTCATTTCTAATTCCCTAAGAGCATTACAAGGAATCCAGAAATTCAACCCACACATCCCACTGTATGTTGTATACAAAAATGGTTATGTCATATTTCTTGGAAGCACAACAAAGTTTTTTGCTAGGTCCCTAGATATGCTGAATCAACCTCTCAATCTGTTATTCATGACCTGACTATTTCCCACAAAGGGGTCTGACTACTTTTCAATACTCCCTCAACTCTTGAAGTCACTACAGTTCAGATGCCCCTCCAAACTGCAAATATCCCTGGCCCTCCTTCAGAGTGCAGGCACTGTACTTCCCACATCAAGGACTCAAGGCTGGCTAACTAGTTACCCTGAATCCCTTCACAAATGTTAACTTGCTGATACTCCAACAGCTCATAAAGTCCCAAATACCTTTTGTTCCACTTATTCTTATCTAACATGCTCACACACTCTTGCTGGATGTCCAAGGCCCTTGCATACAAAACCTCCTTTACCCCTCTCTCCAACCTTTCCTAGGGTGGCCCCCACCCTGCCTTCCCTTCACTACAGATTTATACACCCTCTAAATCATCCTATTTTGCTCCATTCTCTCTATGTACAAACCACCTCAACAACCCCTCCTCAGCCCTCTGGATAATACTTTCAGTAACCCTGTGCCTTCTCCTAGTTTCCAAGCTACGAATTCTCTGCATAATATTTACACTACACATTGCCCTCATACATGGCATCTCCACTGCCTCCAGACTCCTTCTCATAACATTCATAACTGATGCTTCACACCCATGTCAGTGTTGGTACTACTATACTCATACATTCCCCTCTTTGATTTGATCTGACAGAGCTTCGCTTCCACTGATAACGTTTTTTTTTGTCTTCACAGATGCCTCAATGCACCACCCAACTTTATCCCCCCTCCTTAACCCTTAAACGGTCCAAAGAGATTGACGTTCAGATTCGAAGTGCTACAAAAGTAGGTCTACTTTTTTTTACATATTTTCAAATATAACAAAAAAAAAAATTTAGATAAAAGTTTTTTTTACACGTTTTCAAATGTAAAACAAAAAAGATCTACATTTTTTTACATACTTTCAGATGTTGAAAAAACGTATATATACGTTTGGACCGTTTAAGGGTTAATCCTATGGTTCACCTCGTCTTTCACTGATTCATCTGCCAACACGTCCATACACAAATATCTGAATACATTCACTTCCTCCACACTCCATCCTTCCAATCTGATATTGTCTTTCATTATCTAAATAATTTAATACCCTCATCACCTTGCTCTTACCTATGTTCACTATTAATTTCCTCCCATTACATACCCTTCCAAATTTGTCAACCAACCTTTCCAAAAGCACAGTGTCACTGGCAAAAAGCAACTGTGACAATTGCCATTTTGTATTAGATTCTGCATATTTTAACCTCATACCTCTCCCCAACACCCTACCATTCACTTCCTTTACAACTCCATTTTTTTCATCAAACCAGCCATACCCCACTGAGGTAAGGTGACCTAAAAAGAAAAACGAAAGTTCTCTTTTTAAATTTTGTAATTTATACAGAAGGGGTTACTACCCCCTTGCTCCTAGCATTTTAGTTGCCTCTTCTGACAAGCATGGCACAAGTCCATTTATAAATGTGTTAAACAACCATGGTTACATCAGGAATCCATGTTCTAGACCTACTTTTATTGGAAAATTATCTTCCTCTCTCTTACATATCCTAACATGAGCCTCACTATCCTGGACACAGAATACTGTAACCGATAAAACATTATAGGGAGGGAGAGAGCTAGTGGAGACAGATGAAGGGTAGTGTGCTGTGTGAGATATTACACCTCAGCCAAACACAGGAACATCCCTCCTGACTTCCCACACACACATACTCACCCACCTCTCTGCCTTGCCAGCATCATGCTTCTGCCTGACCTTCCATGCCACCCAGCCACTAACACATCGTAAATAATGAATCTTCAGATTTTTGACAGTCTTAAAAAAGGGAGATCTTTATATATGCATGAAATAAAGATAGGGAAGAAGTGAATCAATGAGGCAGGCAATGAGATAGCGAGGAAGTGAATCTGTGAGGGAGGCAGTGAATCGGTGAGATAGACAGTGGGGGAGGTGGTAAGACAGTGAGGGTGGCAGGGAGACAGTGTGGGAGGCAGGGAGAGAGGCAGGAGGCACACAGCCACCAGTCTAGGCCTCTCCTTGGCTTCCAGTCAACTCACCCCTTCTAGTAAGTAAGTAAGTTTATTCAGGTATATACAAATACAGTTACACAGAATTATCATACATAGCAGCATATGTGTAGAGAACCTAGGATAACCCAAAAAAGTCAGATAGAGTGACTTATTTCCCCCTCCCTCAGGCAGAGCAGGTATGGCCTCTCTCACTGGCTGGGTGGCTACAGCCTCACCTGCTTGATAAGAGATAAGAGATAAGATAAGATTTCGTTCGGATTTTTAACCCCGGAGGGTTAGCCACCCAGGATAACCCAAGAAAGTCAGTGCGTCATCGAGGACTGTCTAACTTATTTCCATTGGGGTCCTTAATCTTGTCCCCCAGGATGCGACCCACACCAGTCGACTAGCACCCAGGTACCTATTTGCTGCTAGGTGAACAGGACAACAGGTGTAAGGAAACGTGTCGAAATGTTTCCACCCGCCGGGAATCGAACCCGGGCCCTCCGTGTGTGAAGTGGGAGCTTTAGCCACCAGGCCACCGGGCCACCCGATGACCACTCATGAACTATCACACTGTAAATTATAAATCCATAGTTCTTCACTACTAGGTAGTAGGTTGGTAGACAGCAACCACTCAGGGAGGTACTACTGTCCTACCAAGTGAGCGTAAAACAGAAGCCTGTAATTGTTCTACATGATGATAGGATTGCTGTTGTCTTTTTTCTGTCTCAGAAACATGCAAGATTTCAGGTACATCTTGCTACTTCTACTTACACTTAGGTCACACTACACATGCATATACAAGCATATATATACACATCCCTTTGGGTTTTCTTCTATTTTCATACTAGTTCTTGTTATTGTTTATTTCCTCTTATCTCCATGGGGAAGTGGAACAGAATTCTTCCTCTGTAAGCCATGCGTGTTGTAAGAAGCAACTAAAATGCCGGGAGCAAGGGGCTAGTAACCCCTTCCCCTGTATACATTACTAAATTATAGAGAAACTTTTATTTTACTTTTTGAGCCACCCTGCTTTGGTGGGATATGGCCGGTGTGTTGAAAGAAAGCTCTTCACTAATCTTTACCAAATAAATAAATCAAATCAAATCAAATTTTACTTCTTTCCTAAGGTTACAATATGTGTTTACATTTCATATATTGGTTAAAGGTTCTTTATAAATGCATATAAGGAACATACACAAAGTATCAATGCATTAACAAAAAAATTACTGAAAAAATGATATTTAGAAGTCATCACTGATAAAAACACAAATATTAAATCTATGCTCACAAGCAAAATTCAAAACAAAGGACTTTTTTTTTTTTTTTCATATTGTCACTGCACATCCAGTCAAACTTTTTGTCAGTTAAGTCTGAAAAGTATTAAATGGAAGGGCGGGGAGGTTCTGTTAAACTGAGGTCTTACTGTACTACCAGTTTAACAGCATCTGACAATATTCAGCTTGTAGGAGCAAATGACTTGCCAAAGCTAATTTCTATACAAACAGGTTGAAAGAGCATCCCATACCAGCCAATATAACAAGAGTGTATGACTCAGTGAGACAAGCAGCAACAGTGAGGAGCATGAAGGTGAGGGCCAGAGAGTCCTGCAACACCACCATTGACCAAGTAGGACCTCTCCCAACCTTTTTGAGAATTGGTCGCACCTAAAAAAAAAAGAAAAAAAAATAGAGGCAAAGGTAAAACAAGTTACTAACGATATAATAAATATATATTTGTCTACAGTAATTGTAGCAAGAAAAACAGCTCTACTTTATCATATGTACCACACATTTTGAAAATCATGTCAACTGAAAAAATACAAAAAAGTAAAGCATTTGAATTTGTAGAAATAATCAGTCTATATTTTTTTATCAGTTGTCTTATTAAATTTTAATAGTGCTGATAAGCCTAAATATAATTAGATCTGATCACAAGTCTTGTACATATTTAATTTTTTGTGAGAAGATGGGATTATAAAACAAGTGAATACTATGGTGTTTTTGGAAGTGCAGCACTGAAATATTGTACTGTACATGGAATATGATACGAGAGGCAAGATGTCACAATTGTTTTTGTAAATGACAATGCTTGGGAGATTCAGAAAATAAGCTGTAGAAGTTGGTAGAAGAGTTTGGGAATGAAGGAAGCTAAAAGGCATGCAAATGACAGAATAAAAAAGTGAATACAGTAGTATAGCAAAATAAAAAAGTGATGAGAATATGAAATTTAATCTAGGGGAAAGAAAGATAGGATATCAGGAGTATGAAAGATCTAATTTAATGAGAAGAGGGTTGGAGCAAGGTATGATAATCAAGAGGTTGTATAAATATGGAGCAGGTTCAAGGTGTAGGGGATGTCTGAGGAAGGGTTAGAATGAGGTTATAAAGAAGGATTCTGAGGGCGAGGTTTTAGCGTCCAATGAGCATATGCAGGTCTAGTAGATAGGAGAATGGTAAGTAGTTTTTTGTAACTGATTTGTTATTTTAGTGCAAGCTTAATAACATCAATAAAGGGGTTTCATGAAAATCAGTTAGCTGGACAAGGTCTGAACTCATGAACTCTGCCAGACACTCAACACTTCAGAGGGTTATTGGACTGTCATCTCTGCACCTTTGGAAAGACAGACTGGGAACAAGTGATCATGAGAGTTTAATTTGGGTCACTCTGCCCTGGTGTATATGTATACAGTGGGCTCAATATGAGCATCCATAAGTATTTGCCTGATAGATTTAAGAACTGCCAGGGCAACTTTTGTATGGAAGAGTGCCCCCTGCCATATTGTCAGACAAAGAATTGGCTAAATTATAGTGATTTTTCCATACTTTAATGACTGGCCTAGAAGCTCGCTGGACTTAAATCCAGTGGAGAATGTTTGGAACCTCAATAAGTGTAAGCTTTGTGGCACGGACATGTCCTCTAACCCCAAAATCTTGAGTGCCATTCAGCAGGTGTGAGAGAGTACTGATTTTCCTGTACTCCGTAAGCGCCTAAGAAGTGCATCAAGAGGAAATGTAATTCTACGAAATAGTTTAGAAGAGGAACACATGCATATTTCAGTACAGGTATACCTCGCTTTAAGGAGTTTCACCAATACAGCATTTTCCAACTACATACATATTATGTTTATTATTATCGGCTCTTGCCTTGCTCTTAAGATGGTTTGCGTCAGTGACGTGCATATCAGCTGGCTCCAAGATGAGTCGAGCATTGTCTTTTTTAGGTCTAGCGCTATTTCACACATAATAAGTGATTGTGTTCTCAGGAATCTAACCACTGTATTAGCAAGGTATGCCTGTATTATATACATTTAAAACAGTGGGTCATGATAACAGTCTCGTTTCCTGTGTGATCCGTTTATGCGCATGCACATTTATGATGTTTACTGTATAAAGTACACAAATACATAAAAATTGTTGAAACATACTACAGTATTAGATTACAGTACAAATAATCATATATATGTGTATACACATACATACACAACAGTATGTGAATAAATACATCATACTTTTCTTTTTAACATTTTGTAGAATCCATCATCATGAAAAGTATATGGGGAATTCCGAGGTGTAGATATGTCTTTGGCATAATACTTTGGAAGGGTATTTTCAGCTGCTGTACTAATATGCGCACTTTCAAAGGCTTCAGTGATGTCTGTACCTTTAGTTGCTAAAAGCCAGTCCTTGCCTGTGAAAATGTAGTTGCATTAAATATAAAGATATTTTAATACAGTGGATGGCAGGACATGCTATAACACCTGCAAACTATCACCATTAATTACAACACAGTGGATGGCAGGACATGCTATAACACCTGCAAACTGTCACCATCAATTACAACACAGTGGATGGCAGGACATGCTATAACACCCACAAACTATCACCATTAATTACAACACAGTGGATGGCAGGACATGCTATAACACCCACAAACTATCACCATTAATTACAACACAGTGGATGGCAGGACATGCTATAACACCCACAAACTATCACCATTAATTACAATTACAGGGGGATAAACAGGACATGCTATAACACCTGCAAACTGTCACCATTAATTACAATACAGTGGATGACAGGACATGCTATAACACCTGCAAACTGTCACCATCAATTACAATAAAGTAGATGGCAGGACATGCTATAACACCTGCAAACTGTCACCATCAATTACAATACAGTGGATGGCAGGACATGCTTTAACACCTGCAAACTGTCACCATCAATTACAATAAAGTAGATGGCAGGACATGCTATAACACCTGCAAACTGTCAGCATGAATTATAATATAGTATAAAGATTTACTGTGCCAATTATTTAAAAATATATTACACAACTCTAAAAACAAATTATATTCTAAAGTACTCGTCAATACTAAACTTGTTAAGTAAAAGGACACAAATGCAACTAATGTGACATTTTATTGTCCTCCTGAAGAGTGAAACATTGCCACAATAAAATGTGACATTAGTTGCATTTGTGTCCTTTTACTTAACATTTTTTTTTTTTTTTTTTCAACAAGTCGGTCGTCTCCCACCGAGGCAGGGTGACCCAAAAAAGAAAGAAAAACCCCAAAAAGAAAATACTTTCATCATCATTCAACACTTCACCACACTCACACATTATCACTGCTTTTGCAGAGGTGCTCAGAATACAACATTCGAAGCATATTACTATAAAGATACACAACATATCCCTCCAAAAATGCCAATATCCCAAATCCCTCCTTTAAAGTGCAGGCATTGTACTCCCATTTCCAGACTCAAGTCCGACTATATGAAAATAACCGGTTTCCCTGAACCCTTCACTAATATTACCCTGCTCACACTCCAACAATGTCAAAGGGCCCAAGTATCATTCGTCTCCATTCACTCCTAACACCCCCATGCACGCTTGCTGGAAGTCCAAGCCCCTCGCCCACAAAACCTCCTTTACCCCCTCTTTCCAACCCTTTCGAGGACGACCCCTACCCCTCTTTCCTTCCCCTATAGATTTATATGCTTCCATGTCATTCTACTTTGATCCATTCTCTCTAAATGACCAAACCACCTCAACAACCCCTCTTCTGCCCTCTGACTAATGCTTTTATTAACTCCACACCTTCTCCTAATTTCCACACTCCGAATTTTCTGCATAATATTTACACCACACATTGCCCTTAGACAGACATCTCCACTGCCTCCAACCGTCTCCTCGCTGCTGCATTTACCACCCAAGCTTCACATCCATATAAGAGTGTTGGTACTACTATACTTTCATACATTCCCTTCTTTGCCTCCATAGATATTGTCGGTAATTCTACCAATATTAATACAATACTATGCTTGTTTTGGTCACTATGTGATACAAGACAGGTATTTCTGGTATCACATAACCCCAGCCCACCTGCACGTTAACTCATGTAAGAGACCTAGTAGCTGTACCTCAACATTCTCAATGTGCAGAAGAGCTGTAGCTCAACTTTCTCAACAGATCTTGGCACTATAACTCAACCCACCCACAAGGTCCAGAAGCTGGACATCAACACCTCGCATGAGGTAAGTAGGGGATCCTTCTAAACATATTTTTTTACTTTATTTTATTTTTACTGAAAGTGTGTCTATATGGGAATACGATAGAACACAAGTTTCATGGTGATAGCCCTGATAATAAAAAATTAGAAATACAGTAAACTTTTTGATATGGCAACTGAAGCATGGACAGGGAAAGTGTTGCAGATGAGTGCGTACTACAATACTGTGTTAGGTCTATGAAGAGTGTGGGGGGGGGAGGTGTTGTCTAGCAGTGGACTGTGACACCATTTGAACTGTGGCTTTTTTGTTGTGTTAATATTGATTTTAGGTGGTTTTTCATTGTGGAACCCCAGGCACAAATAGCACAGGTGAGGTATGGGTAGATCAGTGAATAGTATAGTGTAAGCAGTGCTGTTTGTGGTACATTAGTTACTGTAAAAATTATCAGTGGACCATTCTCAAAATTGTGTTCTGGTTTTCAGTCATCAGAAATAATGATGATATATCCTGAATATAGGAAAATGAAAATTATGTAAGTTATAAATATACATATACACTGTATTTTTTAAACACACTGGTCAACATTCACCAATGTAGGGTGAACAAAAAATTAATCACTTTTATCACCCCTCATTCAATATAAATATTTCTTTTCAGTTAACATTCATTTTAGCTTTCACAATATAATTTTTCTCAATACACAAATGCCAAAACAAAACACATACCTCCAGGATGTTTATCAATAAAATCAGTTAGGTCGTACAACTTGTTATGTATCCTCCAGTATGGGCCAACATCATCATCAATCCTCTTCCCACTAATCCATGTATGAGAAGTCTTCAGTGAGTTGTCACGGTTTGTTGGGTAATGCAGAAAACCAGCAAATGAGGCACTATTCTGACTAGTATGTCCTTTGGATTTCTGACTGTTGGAAACGTCATGATGAGGTGCCATTTTTCTGTAAGATTACAAACTTGTACTGTATAACAGATGGCAAATTTCAGCATATTTTATGCAACTAAATGGCAATTAGAATTCACTTTTAGCCCCAATAATGAGTAAAAGGCACTTTGCTTTACAAGCTTTTTATGGAACACAGTTCAAAGAGCTTGTACTGCAAAATACTGTACATCTTTTCTTCACTTAGGGTGGCAATTTCCAAATCTCCAAAAAGGAGGACACAGCTGCTATGTATGTATGTATGTATGTATGTGTGCAATAAGATCACAGTAAACAGGTGATATCAGAATATGCAAAACAACCACTGTGAAAGAACAGGGAAATTCCAAGCGCTTTTGTGACTTCTCACATTATCAAGGAACTATAAAAAACAAAACATCAAAGGAAGGCATATAAAGGGTCAAGACTACACCTTACCATCAGGTCTTAGGCCCTGTACACTTATTGTGTTGTCTCTCAGTGTACTCATAGCACCCCTGCTTTTCATTGGGGGAATGCTGCATCTCCTGCCGAGTCTTTTGCTTTCATAGGGAATGATTTTCGTGTGCAAGTTTGGTACTAAGCAAAAAGCATACTATAATGGTAGAGCTTTAGTATGGTACATATCGTAGAAATACTACGCTCGTACTGCCTCACCAAGTTGACTACATGCACACCTCGCTTAAGTTTTTCTATGATTTCATGCTTTACATCAATGGACAACATCCTCCTCCTCTTCTCAGCACTGTCCTTTGCACTTACTTTCTTAGGACCCATGGTTAGAAAAAAGAAATTTGGCAAAATAACTGCACAAAAAGCACAAAATGCACGCACAACACAAGAGAGATGCTTCCATGGAGAGGTAACCATGTGCACTGACCGAGTGAGACGCGGATGCTGGGAGGATGTTGTGGCATTCACTGTGCTAACTAGTGGTGGCATACCTGAAGCTCACTCGTAACTTGGATTTTGGGTAGGAATTCAAAGCAAAAAATCAACTGAGCGAAGACTTGGAAAACTCGTAAGTTGGGGCACTCGTAAGTCAAGGTACCACTGTATATTTTTAAATGTAAATTGTAATTAACAGAATAGAGGAAATCAGCTCTAATATACATTATTTAGGTACATATGCATACTGGTCAGAGGGCCTGTCGTAACTCCGAGTCGTCGGTAAATGAGTACGTTGCTAAATGAGGAGAGGTTGTATGTATATACTATATACCACTGTATATTTTTAAATGTAAATTGTAATTAACAGAATAGAGGAAATCAGCTCTAATATACATTATTTAGGTACATATGCATACTGGTCAGAGGGCCTGTCGTAACTCCGAGTCGTCGGTAAATGAGTACGTTGCTAAATGAGGAGAGGTTGTATGTATATACTATATATCATGTAATGCAGGATTAGATTCTGCATTACATTTCCCACCTCAAGAGACAGAGCAACGTTCACATCGCCTTAACAACTTAACCAGCGATCATACAAGAACCATGCATCTAGCAGAGCTAGGTGTTGTTCATGGTTCGAGGACGCTCATGGTAGTGGTAAGCTCGAGACTAATTTCAACCACCTCCCATTTTGAATACCAGCCTCCACAAGTAGTTTATATAGTAACCACGAAATAAGTTCATGGTTAAATATAGTCTTTCTTTTTGGCATTTTGTATTTGTATTTCTTTAGGGGTTTAATTAAAGCAAGAAACAAAGTCAACCACTTCCCCTGCAGCCTTCGGCAGACTGACCGTCTTAGATTTCGATGTGTACTTGATTGATGCCTTGACTCATCTCATACATGTACACATCAATGGTTTACACATCAATGGTTATTGTGATCTTCAGTTCCTGTAGTTTCAGTATTCATAAGGTAATTTATATAATTCTTTCCAGACAGGTCCCAAAAATAGCAAATTAACATCCTGCTTGAAGTGGCGCATGATGAAGAATAGATTGCTCAGAAGCAGGGCTGTCCTGCCTAAAGCAGGATGTCTGGCTAGCCTGTCTTCATTTCAGTATTTTCAGCAATATATCATTTATTTCCATTAACCCATAATTGGGAGAGGAAGCATTTGGTGTTAAGGTGTCCCATAGCTTGATCGCTAGTACACTCAGCTCACACACTGAGGTCTGGAATTTGAATCTCCAGTATGGCTAGATAACATTAGGATGTGTTTCCATAAGACACCTGCTGTCCATGTTCACCCATCAGTATAAAATGGGTACCTGGGGGTTAGTCGACAGGTGTGGATTGGATCCTGAGACAAAAAACTGACCTAATTTGCCCGAAATGTTCTGCACAACAAGCGGCTTTCTTTACAGTAGTACGTCACTGATGTCAGCTAGGCCTATATACCTTGTACATGTACTTGTAGAAATAAAGATATTATAATTATTAGACGTCAAAGTTTCCTCACAAAAATATATAAGTGTACTGTTACAGCCACGGTTTTGTGGCACTTTGTCTTCTTGGTGATTTGAATGCTATTTTGTCTTTAAATAAGGTTATTTTTATTAAATTATTTCTTAAACATACATTTAGAATTTCTTTGTATTATAGTTTTCTGCTCTACAATCCTAAACATTGTACGACCAGTCATGAGTGTGACAATCTTCAGCACAATATGATGTGTTTAAAACTATGCTACTGATTAAATGCTAAATATTTTTCTTCACAACCATCATAGACAGCAAACTGATTAACCAATGAACATTAAAACACAAGGTCTTAAACATTTCCAACAGATTTTCCATAGCTCAAAACTGACTCCTTTTTATTGTAGATTTACTGTACTTGCAATATTAATAATATAATTAAATAAGCACTAAACCTGAGAGGGGCCATACAGCACTTCAGGGAGGGATGCATGAAAAGAGGAATGTGCAAAGGTGATGAGGGTGTGTAAGGGCAGGGGTGTGTAAGGGCAGGGGTGTGTAAGGGCAGGGGTGTGTAAGGGCAGGGGTGTGTAAGGGCAGGGGTGTGTAAGGGCAGGGGTGTGTAAGGGCAGGGGTGTGTAAGGGCAGGGGTGTAAGGGCAGGGTGTGTAAGGGCAGGGGTGTGTAAGGGCAGGGGTGTGTAAGGGCAGGGGTGTGTAAGGGAGGGGTGTGTAAGGGCAGGGGTGTGTAAGGGCAGGGGTGTGTAAGGGCAGGGGTGTGTAAGGGCAGGGGTGTGTAAGGGCAGGGGTGTGTAAGGGCAGGGGTGTGTAAGGGCAGGGTGTGTAAGGGCAGGGGTGTGTAAGGGCAAGGGGTGTGTACGGGCAGGGGTGTGTAAGGGCAGGGGTGTGTAAGGGCAGGGGTGTGTAAGGGCAGGGGTGTGTAAGGGCAGGGGTGTGTAAGGGCAGGGGTGTGTAAGGGCAGGGGTGTGTAGGGCAGGGGTGTGTAGGGCAGGGGTGATAAGGGCAGGGGGTGTAAGGGAGGCAGGGGTGTGTAAGGGCAGGCAGGGGTGTGTAAGGGCAGGCAGGGGTGTGTAAGGGCAGCGGGTGTGTAAGGGCAGGCAGGGTGTGTAAGGCAGGCAGGGGTGTGTAAGGGCAGGGGTGTGTAAGGGCAGGGGTGTGTAGGGGCAGGGGTGTGTAAGGGCAGGGGGTGTGTAAGGGCACAGGGTTAATGGGGAGGAGTAAGTGTCAGCTCATGTGTCATACACTGATGGCGAGGGATAATGGGAATAGATCAGGAGACGTTGTCAATAAAGGCTAAGCAAGGAATTAACATAAAAGCACATTGAACACTGCTGACAGGTATCTGGGTATAAGCTGGAGGGGTTCGGGTCAATGCCCGCGGCCTGGTCTGTGATAGGCCTCATGGTTAGATCAAAGCCATATCATACAGAGCGTTATAATGGTATTCAGACGTACACCGACTACGCAAGCCCGTACGGATTTTTAACAGTAGATAATTACATAACATGTAGGGTCTAATCGAAAGTATATCAGACGTTTAGGATGTATCAGCGGTGTCCTGTGGCCTTGGTATGCAACACTCCATCACACACAGTGTCCTGGTATCAATCCCGACCGGTGAAAAACTGGTGTTTCCCTACAACCTGCTGTCTCTGTTATCAGCAGTAAGTAGGATCCTGCCTGTTCATACTAGCATAAGTAGGTCGCTCTCTGTTCAACTAGCAGTAAGTAGGTACCTCTCTGTTCATCTAGCAGTAAGTAGGTACCTGGGTGTTAGTTGACTGGTGTGGGTCGCATCCTGGGAAACAAGATTAATGACCCAATGGAAATAAGAACAGTCCTCTGGGTTTAAAAATCCGAACAAAATCTTATATCTTAAGTAACATGTCACTCGTGTATATGCACAATGATACATATAAAACAACTATACACTACATACAAATTACATGTCTTGGAACACCTTTGTATCAGTACAGCAATGTTAAGACTTGTAATATTTTGCTGCCTCTCTACTGTAAACCATACTAGTTGTAATATTTTTGCTACTTTGCTCTTTATAATAATGCAAAATTAAATTTTTAGCACTCAATCTATATTTAGTTTTAAGCAGTCTGCAAGCATTTTGATAAGATTTTCCTCGGATTTTTAACCGCGGAGGGTTAGCAACCCAGGATAACACAAGAAAGTGGTCCTCAATCTTGTCCCCCAGGATGCGACCCACACCAGTTGACTAGCACCCAGGTACAGATAAGATAAGATTTCGTTCGGATTTTTAACCCCGGAGGGTTAGCCACCCAGGATAACCCAAGAAAGTCAGTGCGTCATCGAGGACTGTCTAAGTTATTTCCATTGGGGTCCTTAATCTTGTCCCCCAGGATGCGACCCACACCAGTTGACTAACACCCAGGTACCTACTTGCTGCTAGGTGAACAGGACAACAGGTGTAAGGACACTCGTCGAAATGTTTCCACCCGCCGGGAATCGAACCCGGCATTGTATTACCTCCACAAGAGTATGATGTTTGACTTAGAGCAATAATGAGCCAGCAGAGGGTAGGTAAGTAAGTTTATACCTGAATAAACTTACTTACTTACTTACTTACTATGATGGTGGCTGGTGTGGGTTGACTACTGCCACTCACACTTGAGAACACAAGCACACTCACTCACTCTTTATCACTGTGATCATATATCACTGCTAGCAGCAGCCACAGTGACCTTCAGCTGTGTCTTCAAGGTGAAGGTCACAGTGACACATGATCTGTGACACACATGATTTGACCTGTGACACTTACATGATTTGACCTGTGACACTCACATGATTTGACCTGTGACACACATGATATGACCTGTGACACACATGATCTGAACTGTGACATTCACATGATTTGACCTGTGACACATATGATATGACCTGTGACACACATGATATGACCTGTGACATGATCTGACCTGTGACACTCACATAATCTGACCTGTGACACACATGATTTGACCTGTGACACACATGATCTGACCTGTGACACTCACATGATCTGACCTGTGACACTCACATGATCTGACCTGTGACAATCACATGACCTGACCTGTGACACTCACATGATATGACCTGTGGCACACATGATATGACCTGTGACACACATATGACCTGTGACTCACATATGACCTGTGACTCACATATGACCTGTGACATGATCTGACCTGACACTCACATGATCTGACCTGTGACACGCATGATTTGACCTGTGACACTCACATGATCTGACCTGTGACACTCACATGATCTGACCTGTGACACACACATGATCTGACCTGTGACACTCACATGGTCTGACCTGTGACACTCACATGATCTGATCTGTGACAATCACATGACCTGACCTGTGACACACACATGATCTGACCTGTGACACACATGATCTGACCTGTGACACTCACATGATCTGACCTGTGACACTCACATGATCTGACCTGTGACAATCACATGACCTGACCTGTGACACTCACATGATCTGACCTGTGACACTCACATGATCTGACCTGTGACAATCACATGACCTGACCTGTGACACACACATGATCTGACCTGTGACACACACATGATCTGACCTGTGACACTCACATGATCTGACCTGTGACACACATGATCTGACCTGTGACACTCACATGATCTGACCTGTGACACACATGATCTGACCTGTGACATTCACATGATCTGACCTGTGACACACATGATATGACCTGTAACACACATGATCTGACCTGTGACACTCACATGATCTGACCTGTGACACACATGATCTGACCTGTGACACATGATCTGACCTGTGACACACATGATCTGACCTGTGACACATGATCTGACCTGTGAAACTCACATGATCTGACCTGTGACACACATGATCTGACCTGTGACACATAATCTGACCTGTGACACTCACATGATGTGACCTGTGACACATGATCTGACCTGTGACACACATGACCTGGCCTGTGACAACATGATGTGACCTGTGACACACATGATCTGACCTGTGACACACATGACCTGACCTGTGACACTCACATGACCTGACCTGTGACACTCACATGACCTGTGTATACCTAGTAGTAGTTTATTCAGGTACACATGAACAAATTATCATACCTAGTAAAATATGTAAATTACCCAAGACAGCCCAAAAAATTCAAAGTATCTTTTTCCATTGTTAGACTTAACGAAGACACTTCTTACCTGGACCCACTCAGCACAGGAATTAATCTGTACAGAGGCAGTGATGAGTGCCAGAAGAGGCCATCACGTGCTCGCTGCCAGCTAATGTTTTTTTTTTTTGTTTTTGTTTTTTTTCCCTTGAGCAAGTGGCGTCGCGCTGCCAGGCGTACGAACTCACCCGTTCAGTTAATGAAGACAAACACTGATCCATAATACTGAAGGACACCAGTGGAAATAAGTCACTTTGACTTTTTTTGGTTATCCTGGATAATCTACACATGCTGCTGTGTATGATAATTTATATAATTATTTATATGTGTAACTGTACCTTAATAAACTTAAGTGGAGAAAGTTGCCACTAAGGAAGTTTATTCAGGGAAAGTTATATTGTCTTTGGATGATTAACATTATCTTACATAATAATATATGTTTAAGATAACATGAAAATAAGTCAAGAGTGAAAACTGGGCTCCATGAAGCAAAAAAGTTACCAGAGTGAGTCTTCCAATATTACGCAGTGCGAGACAAAGTTACTGTGTAAAAACGACTGATAACTAAGCTTGTTGCTGTGGCAAGAATAGACTCTCACGCCACACATCCACTTCTATCTCACATTATCTCTTCTCTATAACCTTTATCAGTCTTATGATAACTTAGTCTCTCTTCTTACACAGGGTCGCATGACAGTGGCAGCCATAGAAGACAATGAAAGTCTCCAAGTGGATATGAACCAAATCTTTAAATGGGCTGCAGAAAACAATGTGAAGTTCAATGAAGACAGTTTTCTATTACTCCGCTATGGATCACTCGAGGAAATTAAAACTGTATCGGAGTATAAAACAAATTCCAGCCACAAAGTAGAGCGAAAAACTAATGTGTAGGACCTGGGAGTGATAATGTCAGAGGATCTCACTCTCAAAGCTCACAACAATGTATCTACCACATCTGCTAGGAAAATAGTGGGATGGATAATGAGAACCTTCAAAACTAGGGATGCCAAGCCAGTGATGATTCTCTTCAAACCGTTTGTTCTCTCTAGGCTGGAATATTGCTGTACACTAACGGGCCCTTTCAAGGCTGGCGAAATTGCAGACCTGGAGAACATGCAGAGAACTTTCATGACACATGTAAATATGATAAAGTACCTCAATTACTGGGAATGGTTGAAGTCCCTTGATTTGTATTCCCTGGAATGCAGTCGAGAAAGATACATGATAATATACACTTGGAAAATCCTAGAGGGGCCAGTTTCCAATCTGCACACGAAAATCACTCCCCATGAAGCAAAAGACTCGGCAGGAGATGCAACATCCCCCTCCAGTGAAAAGCAGGGGTGTCACGGTATGCTAGAGACAACACAGTAAGTGTCCAGAGCCCAAGACTGTTCAACTGCCTCTCAGCATACATAAGGGAGATACAAATACTCAAGGGAATTGGTAAAGTAAACAATGACAGGCTGTTTGAGAGGCGAGAAACAGGTACTCAAGAGACACATTGGAAATTTTAAGTCACAGATGAACCACTGCGATATCAGGAAGTATTACTACAGTCTCAGGGTTGTCGGGAAGTGGAATGATCTCAGTGAGGAAGGAGTGGAGCAGACTCCATACATAGTTTTAAGAAAAGATACCATAGTGCCCACGAAGCTAAGTGACAGTGAATCTGGAAAGTGATAAGAGGCAGGCCCAGGAGCTGAGTGTCAAATAAGAGAAATAGGTAATTACTTTATACCAACAGAAAGATTGAATGATGGTGGGTTGGGTTGAATGATAGCTCTAGGCCTTTTGTGTTGCAATCACATCATCAGGAGGTTGCAATGTTGCAGAGGAGGTCCAAGCAAATACGTCAACAGGGAAAACTTTTGAATAAAAGTGATCAGAGAACATTTAATGACACGAAAATTTCACCGGCCTAAGATTATGCAAATTAAAAAATGTGTGAAAAATGAGAGGCAGTAAACAAGGTGGGATCACAAGATAGTACGATAACTGCCTCCGAGAAAGATGTTGTTTATCACATAACATAATATAGTTAGGTAAAGTTTGTCAGGAAACAGTACAAGTGTTTCCTGACGCTGGAACTTTTTGGTCATCTGACCGAGGCCTTCTGCTGGCTTACCCATTCACCCCTTTAAATAATGTAGTTATACTTATCCTAGATATATATATATATATATATATATATATATATATATATATATATATATATATATATATATATATATATATATATATATATATATATATATATATATATATATATATATATATATATATATATATATATATATATATATATATATATATATATATATAATATATATATATATATATATATATATATATATATATATATATATATATATATATATATATATATATATATATATAATATATATATATATATATATTATATTATATATATATATATATATATATATATATATATTATATATATATATATATATATATATATATATATATATATATATATTACTTTTTAAACGTTGCCGTTGTTATTGTAATATATTTTGCGCATTTCATCGCTCATTTACAATTATGTAAACATTGTGGTTGAGAGGGACTTGCTTCTCTCTTCACTGTTTTTTATATATAACAAATTTAATATTACTTATTGAATATAAAACGGTATAAAAACTTTTAGTTTTGAACGATAATTTATGTAACTGCACAACGTCGCTTAACATCGTAAAAGAAGAAAAAACGTAAAGTGAATGGAATGTGAGCGAAATATTTTGGAACAACAAATCCAATATTACATTTATATTCGTCCTGGTTACCACGAGCACATATATTTTTTTCAGTCAAATGTATAACTTATGAAGCTGCAGTGGTGCGCGGCCCATAAAAGAAGCACCTAGGTTCGATCCTAGGGCGGGTGGAGACACTGAACATGTATAATTACATCATTTGTTGCTCTCCTTCACCTAACCCACTGTTGTGGGTCGCATCCTGGGGAAGAGGATCAAATAACCACAATTTTTTTATTATTTTTTTTTATTATCACACTGGCCGATTCCCACCAAGGCAGGGTGGCCCGAAAAAGAAAAACTTTCACCATCATTCACTCCATCACTGTCTTGCCAGAAGGGTGCTTTACACTACAGTTCTTAAACTGCAACATTAACACCCCTCCTTCAGAGTGCAGGCACTGTACTTCCCATCTCCAGGACTCAAGTCCGGCCTGCCGGTTTCCCTGAATCCCTTCATAAATGTTACTTTGCTCACACTCCAACAGCACGTCAAGTATTAAAAACCATTTGTCTCCATTCACTCCTATCAAACACGCTCACGCATGCCTTCTGGAAGTCCAAGCCCCTCGCACACAAAACCTCCTTTACCCCCTCCCTCCAACCTTTCCTAGGCCGACCCCTACCCCGCCTTCCTTCCACTACAGACTGATACACTCTTGAAGTCACTCTGTTTTGCTCCATTCTCTCTACATGTCCGAACCACCTCAACAACCCTTCCTCAGCCCTCTGGACAACAGTTTTGGTAATCCCGTACCTCCTCCTAACTTCCAAACTACGAATTCTCTGCATTATATTCACACCACACATTGCCCTCAGACATGACATCTCCACTTCCTCCAGCCTTCTCCTCGCTGCAACATTCATCACCCATGCTTCACACCCATATAAGAGCGTTGGTAAAACTATACTCTCATACATTCCCCTCTTTGCCTCCAAGGACAAAGTTCTTTGTCTCCAGAGACTCCTAAGTGCACCACTCACCCTTTTCCCCTCATCAATTCTATGATTCACCTCATCTTTCATAGACCCATCCGCTGACACTTCCACTCCCAAATATCTGAATACATTCACCTCCTCCATACTCTCTCCCTCCAATCTGATATCCAATCTTTCATCACCTAATCTTTTTGTTACCCTCAAAAACCTTACTCTTTCCCTGTATTCACTTTCAATTTTCTTCTTTTGCACACCCTACCAAATTCATCCACCAATCTCTGCAACTTCTCTTCAGAATCTCCCAAGAGCACAGTGTCATCAGCAAAGAGCAACTGTGAAAAACTCCCACTTTATGTGTGATTCTTATCTTTTAATTCCACGCCTCTTGCCAAGACCCTTGCATTTACTTCTCTTACAACCCCACCCATAAATATATTAAACAACCACGGTGACATCTTTACATCCTTGTCTAAGGCCTACTTTTATTGGGAAATAATTTCCCTCTTTCCTACATACTCTAACTTGAGCCTTACTATCCTCGTAAAACTCTTCACTGCTTTCAGTAACCTACCTCCTACACCATACACCTGCAACATCTGCCACATTGCCCCCCTACCCACCCTGTCATACGCCTTTTCCAAATCCATAAATGCCACAAAGACCTCTTTAGCCTTATTTAAATACTGTTCACTTGTATGTTTCACTGTAAACACCTGGTCCACACACCCCCTACCTTTCCTAAAGCCTCCTTGTTCATCTGCTATCCTATTCTCCGTCTTACTCTTAATTCTTTCAATAATAACTCTACCATACACTTTACCAGGTATACTCAACAGACTTATCCCCCTATAATTTTTGCACTCTCTTTTGTCCCCTTTGCCTTTATACAAAGGAACTATGCATGCTCTCTGCCAATCCCTAGGTACATTACCCTCTTCCATACATTTATTAAATAATTGCACCAACCACTCCAAAACTATATCCTGGAGTTTACCTGGAGTTTACCTGGAGAGAGTTCCGGGGGTCAACGCCCCCGCGGCTCGGTCTGTGACCAGGCCTCCTGGTGGATCAGAGCCTGATCAACCAGGCTGTTGCTGCTGGCTGCACGCAAACCAACGTACGAGCCACAGCCTGGCTGGTCAGGAACCGACTTTAGGTGCTTGTCCAGTGCCAGCTTGAAGACTGCCAGCGGTCTCTTGGTAATCCCCCTTATGTATGCTGGGAGGCAGTTGAACAGTCTCGGGCCCCTGACACTTATTGTATGGTCTCTTAACGTGCTAGTGACACCCCTGCTTTTCATTGGGGGGATGGTGCGTCGTCTGCCAAGTCTTTTGCTTTCGTAGTGAGTGATTTTCGTGTGCAAGTTCGGTACTAGTCCCTCTAGGATTTTCCAGGTGTATATAATCATGTATCTCTCCCGCCTGCGTTCCAGGGAATACAGGTTTAGGAACCTCAAGCGCTCCCA